TTAATAAATAAAAAATTAATAAATAAAAAATTATGTAAGGTATAATTTACACACAAAAAAACATCTCAATAATTTTTTTTTTATTTCAGAGCAAATTGATTCTGATTGATAAAAGACTATTTTTTTTTTTAATTAATATGTCTTCATTTTCATACTAAATATAGCCAATATCAAACCAGAATGATTTAAATCACGAAACAAACGGACAAACACCAGTAAATCATCAAATATTGTTAATGTATCAATCAGTTAATGTATATCTGGTAATCAAAATCAAATCGTGTTTTTATAATGTCGTCACAAATCACAAACAGAGACTACAGAAACAATAATACCTTTAGTTTTTTCTACTGTATTCAATGTCTTTTCAATTAGTTCCAGCATTGGTCCAATTAATTCTTTGTCTTTACCCACAATATTGAATCCATTCCATACATATATCAACTCCTATGGTGAAGACACACAATATATTTAAAAAAAGAACTATATGTACAATGACTTACCAAACCTGGCACTGTCAGTCTATTGCCCTTATCAAGGAAGAACTTGGATTTATGTACAATGACTTACCAAACCTGGAACTGTCAGTCTATTGCCCTTATCAAGGAAGAACTTGGATTTATGTATTTTTTAATGACTTACCAAACCTGGCACTGTCAGTCTATTGCCCTTATCAAGGAAGAACTTGGATTTATGTACAATGACTTACCAAACCTGGAACTGTCAGTCTATTGCCCTTATCAAGGAAGAACTTGGATTTATGTACAATGACTTACCAAACCTGGCACTGTCAGTCTATTGCCCTTATCAAGGAATAACTTGGATTTATGTACAATGACTTACCAAACCTGGCACTGTCAGTCTATTGCCCTTATCAAGGAAGAACTTGGATTTATGTATTTTTTAATGACTTACCAAACCTGGCACTGTCAGTCTATTGCCCTTATCAAGGAAGAACTTGGATTTATGTACAATGACTTACCAAACCTGGCACTGTCATTCTATTGCCCTTATCAAGGAATAACTTGGATTTATGTACAATGACTTACCAAACCTGGCACTGTCAGTCTATTGCCCTTATCAAGGAAGAACTTGGATTTATGTACAATGACTTACCAAACCTGGCACTGTCAGTCTATTGCCCTTATCAAGGAATAACTTGGATTTATGTACAATGACTTACCAAACCTGGCACTGTCAGTCTATTGCTCTTATCAAGGAAGAACTTGGATTTATGTATTTTTTAATGACTTACCAAACCTGGCACTGTCAGTCTATTGCCCTTATCAAGGAAGAACTTGGATTTATGTACAATGACTTACCAAACCTGGCACTGTCATTCTATTGCCCTTATCAAGGAATAACTTGGATTTATGTACAATGACTTACCAAACCTGGCACTGTCAGTCTATTGCCTTTATCAAGGAAGAACTTGGATTTATGTACAGCCCATTTCTCAAATGGAATAGATTTGCCAGCAATCTTCTGTTTGAGATCTGGTATTTCTGTAAACATCTGTTGTAACTGTAGTATGGTGTCAGCTGTTGGATCTGGCATCATGCATAGAAATGAGGCTTTCAGGTAGGCATAGGTGGCCTGCAGCGAAGGAAACAATGGTGTCAGTGATTGGATCTGGCTGAAATCATACATATATTAAAATGTGGCTTTCAGGTAGGCATAGGTTGTCTACAGAGAAACAAATAATATCACAAATGTTGCAAGTATAGTAATTTGCAGAATGAGAGACAATCTATAACTTGGTAGATAAATGTACATAAAAAAGATGAATATTAGCCATTATGTACGATGGCCCCTATCTTAGGAGCCATTGTGTAACATGACCCCTAACTCATTAGCCATTGTGTACCATGGCCCCTAACTCATTAGCCATCGTGTACCATGGCCCCTAACTCATTAGCTATTATGTACCATGGCCTCCAACTCATTAGCCATTATGTACCATGGCCCCTAACTTATTAGCCATTATGTACCATGGCCTCCAACTCATTAGCCATTTTGTACCATGGCCCCTAACTTATACTTAGTAGCCATTGTGTAACATGACCCCTAACTCATTAGCCATTGTGTACCATGGCCCCTAACTCATTAGCCATTGTGTACCATGGCCCCTAACTCATTAGCCATTATGTACCACGGCCCCTAACTCATTAGCCATTGCGTACCATGGCCCCTAACTCATTAGCCATTATGTACCATGGCCTCCAACTCATTAGCCATTATGTACCATGGCCCCTAACTTATTAGCCATTATGTACCGTGGCCCCTAACTCAGTAGCCATTATGTACCGTGGCCCCTAACTCATTAGCTTTTATGTACCATGGCCCCTAACTCATTAGCTATTATGTACCATGGCCCTCTAACTCATTAGCCATTATGTACCGTGGCCCCTAACTCATTAGCTTTTATGTACCATGGCCCCTAACTCATTAGCTATT